ATTTCGAATTAATTTTGTTACGTAGCAATGATTTTTTTCGTTCGAATTACCAAGTGCATAAAAATGTATTGATTTAGTTGGAAATATAAAGAGATTTTGTAGGAAACTCGTGATAACTTCGAATTATAGAAAGGTTCGAATTATCGCAGGTTTGAATTAACGAGAGTCGACTGTAGTTTCACGCCGAAAAAGTAAATAATACAAAGCCGAATATACGAATCTGATTCGCGCTTGACCGCTTTTGAGATCGAAAATAAATAATGGAAATGCTACAGGTATATATTCAGACATTTAGATAAATAGATAATGAGAATTATTATGATTACAAGATAAAAACATTTATTAATGTCAATATTTACAATTAAATTTAAACCGTTTTGATCGGCTGGATTCAAGAATACGAGTAAATACAATACTGATAGGTATAAAAATACTTCACGTTTTTTCTCAATGGGGTATTCAATGTGATATAGAATACAAAATGTAAACATTTCATTAAATAATTTCAAGATATCGGTATGATAACATTAAAACGTGTGTTTATGACTGACTCGGTAGTTTTATATTTTTTCCATCAAAACAAATCTGCAATGTCAGTGACTTTGTGTAATACATAATTGTGTATAAAAACATTGTATTTTACGCGTGATTGTACAATGTATATACATACATACAATAAATGAATTGGAGTACAAACATGTTACAATGTAAATTAAAGTATCTGAGATAAGCAAACAGATAGCCATAAAAATGATTGCATTTTACACTGTATTATTAGACGCCAGCGATCTCCGATTATTTTTACACTAACGATAAATGGAAAAATTGTGCATCAAATAAATTGTTTACAAATTGATATTCAACGTTTTGTAATGATAAATATTTGAGTTCAGGTTAGAAATAGACGTATGATCATACCATCATAAGGTCGTCAGTCCTGAGACTGGTTGGACACGCACCTCCACTCTTTCCTATCCTGAGCTAATCTTCGCATTTACCTAAAACTAGTCCAACTCACACCCCTAATTATTTACGAACAGTAATCAAATCTAGGCCTACCTCTACCCTTCCTAACTCCCGTTTCTACCTCTAATATGTCTTTGACCAGACCTTCATGCCTGAAAAGGTGTCCTACCAACCTATCTCTCCTTTTTCTTATTGACTTCCTTGTGTTCTCTTATTCTCTCTAATATCTCTTCATTTCTAACCTTCTCTATCCACGGTATCCTCAACATTCGCCTGTAACATCACATTTCGAACGCTTCTAACCTTTTCTTTTTCGCAGCGCCCATCTTCCATGTTTCGCACCCGTACAGTGCCGCGCTGCAAACGTACACCTTTAATCATTTTTGAATTTCTAAATTAACCGTTCGCGAGCATAAAAGTGACTTCTTCTTGTTAAAGACGACTCTACCCTGCGCTATCCTCTGCTTTATATCCCTACTACTCCTTCCGTCCTGACTTATCTGACTTCCTAGATACCTAAAATCAATCACTTCTTGTAATTTCGTCTCCTATCTAATGCTAATACTCCTATATTATCTGCAAATATAATTCTAATAAATAATCGAAATTGGCTAACTGTATATGTATAAATTTTTAATTGTACAAAATTTGTTTGAATAAAGTTTTAATAATTTTGTATTATATATCAGTTGTTTAAAATATGTCAAAGATTAACATACTATTTTTAATTAGCCTCTTAATAGCCTGTTCTACGTTTTTTACCTTTCCGAGATCGAGCACACTATTTTAGCTACCCCAGGAGCGGTTTCTTTTAATTTCTTTCCTTCCATGTAATTTGGGGAACTTGTGTATTCGAATAATAAATATTTTCTTCTAAGTAGCAGGCATTTTACCTCAGTGAAGTGATTTGTTAAATAAAAAGGATAATGGATATAAAAGGGAAAGACAGTCTCAAATCTTTTTTATCCTGTAGTAGGTATCAGACAGACAATGTCCTTAATACTCTTTCTGAAGCTAAAATAGAAAACCGCTGCATGATGTATTTCTTATTATTTAACACAAGATAAAGACATTGTGTCATTAAAATAAAAGGACTTTTTTGTTATTTATTGGTATTACTTTATATCTAAAAAATCACCTTATTAAGTAATAANACAAAGAGGGTTCCAGGCAATTACAGCCTATAACGATAAAATTTCGCGGCCAATTATTTCACCCTCATACAATTCCAAAACCTGTTTAGTTTCTATAGTGACCCTTTACCCAATTTCCGGAAATGCAATGTAAACCTAAATTAGATTACTGTTCGCAAATAGTTAAGTAAGAAGTTGAGACTATTTTGTTCCAATAAGTAACATTTAAATTTTAATATACTCATGTATTTATCATAAAATATTTCTTTTTTATTAGTCATCATGATTAGCGCTGATATACGTTCATTCTCAGAAACAGACAAAATTGGCAAAAATTGTATACATTTGTAGCATAAGGTAACCACAACACAAATTTCGCTTCTGCGATTACCACAACGCATCATGAGCTTTTGCATAAGTCATAACACGAATTTCGCGGTATGGATGTTTTACAATGACCACAACTGAGCTGTTTTCTTCTCTCAATGAATGTTTCCAGTCTTTGAGCGTAACATATACGCTCAACAGAATTGGAAATGTGATAACTGAAGTAAACGAAGGATTTTTTTATAAAACTTGGCACAAGAATTTGAAATGTTAGTATTTTATTGTATAACTTTGCAAAAAATCATGCATAATTCACATAAGTGACAAAATGTTAACTGTTCTTGAGGTTGGTACTTCAGTGGATCATGGTTGTTACACCACACAGTCTGAAACGTAACTTTTTATAGCACAGTTCCGGAAAGGATATCTCCTAAAATAACAATGATAGATTAATAACGTCGATGCAAAGATGATTATTGGAAATTACTATAAAACTAATTTAGCTCTCCATTTTGTTGCTCTTTTAAAAACAAAAAATTATACTAAATTCTAAGAAAAATCGCAAATATATTTTTTTCCAAATTGTTCTAACTTCTCTGGATACCGGACTATTAGGTCGCGAATTCTATTCGATGTTTTTTCAATACTCCTTCTTTACTAAAAAACTGTGCTCTTTGACCACTCGTTTTGTTTATTAACCTTTTATTCTAGAAGAAGTAGGAGAATTTAACAATATTTAATTATCTTCTTTCTTTGGAAGGGTCGTTCACCCAAATTCTAAAGCCTCAGGATAACGGGCAAGGAAGTTCCTTCTTGTATAACCGCAGGGGTGACAATAGATCTGTACCTGGCGGTATCGGTCGCGTGCAGAAATTCTCGTATTTCAGGCTAGTTTAAAAATCGTTTCACTCTAAACGTTCGTTTTTCACGAAGTTTTCGCCAATCGAGGTCCGTAGACGTGTCTTTTTCGTACAACAAAATTGACAATAATCATGCCATTATTGCGGCAACCTTTCAAACTGAAAGGATTTTTTTTAAAAAATACAGAATTTGCTTTATTGAATTAAAATTAAAGAAAAACTATTAAGTCTGTATGTGATGTTTGGGTACTTATTTGAAATGAAGTGATTTTTCATAGTAAACTATTCACAATTTATATCAATGCGGAATCGCTGAAGTATCATCGCCCTGATAGAAATATATCTACAACATTTTACAAGACAACTACAACTTCCTACGAGAAATTGCTAAAACATTTTACAACATTTAACGATTCTCTACAGCTTGGTCCTATCTACATTATGTTCAAGCACTACACTTTTTTACGAGAAAGTACGCGGATTGGGACACTAATGTTACATTTCCTAGGAAGTTGTTGCAAGTTGTAGCTCAACTTTAAATCTTAAGATTATGCCTTATTACAAGAAACTACAACTTTTTATGTACCAAAAGCCTACAATTTTCTACAATCTTCCACAACTAAATTTAATCTATTCACCGCCTAGTCACTACAATTTTCTACAATAATAGTTTGAAAATCAAATTTTGATTTATGTTTAGCATTATTGCTTGTGACATAAAAAAGCAAAGACGACACTGCGTGTCATATACACCTGCTAACAAGCCCATCGTATTATTTCTTTTTTACATTTTTATAAGAGACATTGAATGTTGTCGCATATCATTGAATGTTGCAGTATTCCATGAGGAACTACAACAAACTATGTCGTCTGATTCTTAATTAAAAAATTTTTATCGAGTCCCATAATGAACGTTATATGCGGTTGAATTTCATGGAAAGTTGTAGTGTTTTATGAGGAACTACAACGAATTGCGTATTTGGATTACGACGACGATTTTTTACATGTTTATAAGAAACGTTGAATGTTGTCGAATATCATTGAATATTGTAGTATTCCATGAGGAACTACAACAAATTACGTTTTTCAACTGAACGTTAATGTTTTTCCGTAGTAAGCTATTTGTTGTTGAAATTTTTTGTTTATTACCACCTTCTACAATTTATGACGCCGGAAAAAAAATGAGTTTCAATTTTTCGTAGAATATTGTAGAATCTTGTACGTATGAGTTACAACTCTATACAATTGTCTACAGCAACGAAATAAATTGTCAAAAATTGTTGGTTATTGTATAAAATATAAAAGCGTAGTTTGTTGTAGATATATTTCCACTAGGGCATGCATCACTTATAACTTGTGAAGCAATTTATTAAATGATTTAAGAAGCGATTTAACTTGTTTTAGAAGCAAGTTTACTAAGTACAAACCTAACCTAACCTAAATAAACCCCAGTCTAACGTAATAAAAACATCTTTTCTTGTGTTTTTGTTTAGAACCCAATTTTGAAGTTTTACCATTATACAAATTTTCACAAAAGAAAAGATAAAAATCATTTGAAAAAAGTTATTTTTTACTATCTTAGAATAAATTATTAGGCTAAGTTAGTTTCTTTTTTAAAATTTGATTTCTCACTTCCACTAACCAGGAAGTTTTTAAACTCATTAGACATATTATTTCTGTATCAACAAGCTAATAATGATTTTTTCTTTAAAAGCCGCCTTTGAAAAGGTTCGAACCGCCACCTTCGAAGGCTGCCGTCGTTGAACGGAAGCGTTTACCATTCCGCCCGAAATCACGAGCTGACGTAAGTTGAAAATTGTTAAACGAGAACTATAATATAATGTTTCGCTTTTGTAACTTTATATTATAGTCGGGGGTGGACAGCCCTCGAAAGATGGACGGGTCCCACTACCCCGGCGGTGGGGCTAGTAGTGATGACGAAACGTTGCTTACTAGACAGAACGAGGATTTGCGACAGAGGCTTCAGGAGGAAGCAGCGCTCTACAGAAGACGCATCGAAACTTATAGACAAGCTCAACAAAACCAAGCCGCTTTAGTTAGTCGATTGCAAGCAAAGGTTCGAAACATTTCTTTTATAATTATATTATGAAAAACAAAGGGTATCCCTGGATAAGATTTTCCGAAATACCTACTGGAACTTGTTGATATAATAAAAAAAATAAACTCGAGCCCATAGCTAGTATCTCGAATCCTCCCTAGCTATAGGACTAAAAAACCACATTATTCGCGGTTATTTTTTTTTCTCAGAAACTAATGGCGCAAAAATCTGAAAAAAAAACATGAGTATGTAAAGTTAAATTGTACACTTGTGGATTTTTTTTTCAGATTTGTTGGGTTGGGGCCTTCATAACTATGTTTTTTCTTTTCGATTCACCGAGTCATATCTCTGTCAAAATGGCTAAAATATTTCAGCATATACTGTACACTACCAGAATATATGTCATTTTCACAAATTTTTTGCTATTTTCGAAAACACGAATTGAATGAAAAAACTCATTTTTTTTTTACTCTCCAGTTGTATGTTACGGTTATTATTATTTTTTTAGACATGATGTTCAATATTCTGAATAGTATACATAAACATATACCTATATAATATATGGTGGAATATTTTTAGTCACGGCGGCACTATTTCGGCCAAGATATGGCTTGAAAATCGAAAAAACACGGTTCGGTTTTTTGCATTTTTGAAGGTGGCGCAATTAAATTCAAGTAACCTTTGAAAAATATTATAATGGCACCCTTACACAAAAATGCTGCCAAAATATGAATAACCCCTACAAATGCGTATTTAATGTACCAACAACGTCTAGAAGGTATTGTACAATTTCACCTATCTTATCCAGGGAATACTCTTTCTTTTGTTGCTGATAATATCACAAGATAAAAACGTTTATTTACTTTTTACCTATAGAATGATCAATTTTACCTACAGAATAATCGAAAAATAGAAACATGTATTTAATGAGGACTTCTGTATTTTACCAGTGTTGTAATCAGTCCACTTTGTTTTGAAACACGACTTAAGTACTAAATTTTCAAAATTATCTCTACTCGTCATCTTTCTAATACAAGCTTTTTGATTATTTTAAAGGTAAAAAATACCGCCTATAAATCCATCTTCTTTATTCTACAATAGTGATTTAATGTTGTTCGATTCTTTACTTAAGAAGATGATCATTTATTTCCAAAAATCAAATGTTTCCCTATTTTGTAGGTTTTACAGTACAAACAAAGATGTACCGAATTAGAATCTCAGATGGTCGAAAGTGCAATCAAAGAACCCTCAACACCCGTTCGCCAACCCATTTATTATACTTCTTCCCCTATTGCGACTTCTACACCATCAAGCACGGCACTTGAAGAAGCTCAACAACATTTGCGCGAAATACGTGAAGAACGAATTCACGATCTCGACACGGCTCTTAAACGATTGGATGAAGAAAGGAGAAAGTACTAATTTCATGAAATATATCAATTTTTTTTTTATTCACATTTTGGTTCATTTTAGAGTTGAACGGCTGACTCAACTGAACAAAGTATTAAGAGAACAACTCGAAGAATCTCATAGTACAAACGAAGCATTAACATCCGATTTACAGAAATTGACAAACGATTTTGAAGCACTTCGCGAGGAGATGATCATTAAAGAAGACGAATGGAAAGACGAAGAGCAAGCGTTCAGCGATTATTATAGTTCTGAGCATTCGCGACTCCTAAACCTTTGGCATGACGTGGTGTCAATAAAAAGACTCTTCATCGATGTACAAAGTGCAACACAAAGAGATCTGTACAATCTCAAATTTGAAATAAACGACATTGGAAGGGACATGACATTTGTTCAAGGAAAAATTGGGAGAAGTGCAGTAAACACTGGTGCTTTAGAGGTATGTTTTTTTAATTACATGGGCAGAAAATAATCCGAAGTGAAGTTAACATTCTTATTTATTTTATTGTTGTCATATTAACATATTTCGTTACAGAGCAAAGAGAAGTTCTTGCAAGAACAAGAACTATCAGAATTGCGATCAAAAGTGCATCATCTTCAAAACCAACACATAAACTGCCAGGCGGAATTAAAACTAAAAGAAGATCGAATACAGCAACTTCTAAGAGAAATCCAGCTGCTTGTAAGTAATTTATTCCATACTCTCTGGTTTAATTTGTCATCCATTTAACAATACTTGATGTCAAAATGGAAAACTGATACTTGGTACTCTTTTCGACAACCCAGAATACTAAAGTACCTGTATTTTCATTTTAATTTGTTAGCTCCACAGTGCTCAATTTTATTATTTTTTCTGAATAGGAAGAAAAATGTTCAGTTGCTGAACACGAAGTAGTACAAATGGCACGGATGCAAGAAGATTTAGAAATATTACAAAACTCCCTTAGAGACATTGCTCACGCTTTGATACAAGATGCCGACACTGCAGACCCAGAAACAACAACTCATCTTCATCTCACCCCATCACCGTTAGTGCCTCAAAAGTAACACTTATAATACTAAATATCTTATGAGACTATTACTAAAGGTTGGTGTTGAAATTTTAGGTCTCCGAAAAGAGGAGGTCCTCGAAGTACAATGTCCACAGCTGCCTTCGCCGAAAGTACTATTTCCGCAATGCACGCAGCTCTACACAAATATCAATCTATTATCCATGAACTACAAGTAAGTGTGACCTTCAGTTGTACAGTTTCTTTCTCTTAACTTGTTATTAGAAAATCTACAGATCATCGATGATGACGATATGATAACAGATATGATAATCAGCCCCATCAAAAGAATTAATGAAAGGAAATCTGGAAGTATTATTTTGGTATATTAAATTCCTTTAAGTTATTTAATGAAAAATTACAATATGAAGTTTATAAAAAATAATAGGTACAGACAGGGATGCACACTATCACCACTACTTTTTAGTCTATACTTAGAAAACGCGATCAACATCATTAGTAACAGTACAACTGTAGGGATGGATATACAGGGGCAAAAGACTGCTATGCTTAGATTTGCAGATGATTAGCATCTAGCAAGGAGGATTTAGAGATAGCTTTAAATAGAAAGGAAGCGGTACTGGCAAAATAGTACTGAATGAAAATAAATAAAAGCAAATAAAAAATACTGGTATGCAAAGAAAAAATAGGGAAAGAGCGAATATAAGGATATGAGACGAAAAATTAGAAGAAGTGGTCGATTTTAGGTATCTAGGAAGTCAGATAAATCAGGACGGAAGGAGTAGTTGGGAAATAAAGCAGAGAATAGCGCAGGGTCGAGTCGCCTTCATTATGAAGAAGTCACTTCTATGCTTGTGAACGATTAATTTAGAAATTCGAAAGAGGTTGTTAAAGGTATATGTTTTGAGCGCAGCGCTGTACGGGTGCGAAACAGGGACAGTGGGCGCGGCGGAAAAGAAAGGGTTAGAAGCATTCGAAATGTGGTGTTACAGGCGATTGTGATGAGGATACCATGGATAAAGAAGGTTAGAAATCAAGAGGTATTAGAAAGAATAGGAGAACAAAGGACTCTATGGAGGTCAGTAAGAAAAAGGAGAGGTAGGTTGGTAGGACACCTTCTCAGGCATGAAGGTCTAGTCAGAGACATATTAGAAGCAGAAACGGGAGTTAGAAGGAGTAGAGGTAAACCTAAATTAGATTACTGTTCGCAAATAGTTAAGGATGTCGATTGTTGTGACATTAGGGAAAAGATTAGCTCAGGTTAGGAAAAAGTGGAGATACGTATCCAACCAGTCTTAGGACTGACGACCTTATGATGAGGTAGTTTTTTTCGTAATTGTCTAAGCAGCTGTATAGTTATTCTTTTTACAAAATTAAGCGTTATTGCAGATTTATATTGTATACAAACAGTTTTTTTAATTTTTGCTTCTTTAAGGTGGCAATAAACTGTAATTTACCTTTTAGGTGAAACTCCAGTCTTGCAAGGAGCAACTGCTACTAGTAAGGAAACAACACGAAAATTCAGAAGAAAACGTTTCGGCTTTAGAATCACGAGTATCGGAACTGGTGGCACAGCTGGATGCGTGTCACACTCAATGTTCCCAAATTTCACAGGAAAGAGAAATGTTACGTAATCTTACCGAAACCTTAAAATCGGATAAAAACGCCCTCGAAAAGAATCGACTAGAAGTAACTGCAATGGTAAATATGTATTAATTTTTTCTCTTATCCAAAATAGTATAGTAATATATATTACATGTAAATAGGAAAGCAAAAATATTTTTTCTCTTCGTGTTATGATACTTACATAGAGTATTTTTTGGCCTTATTTGCTGTGTTCGCTAAAAGTATTCGTTTGGTCATTAAGTCTTGTACTTTCAATATTGTATACATAATTTCAATTAGGTATTAATAATATAAGAATCGAAAACATCACTCTAATGATAATTATTTAAATTATCGTTTGAATTCAACATTATATTAATTTATGAGTCAACAAGAGAAGACTCTAGCAGCAAAATTTAAATTCACCACACATAAGTATAAAAAAAACTCTCTTCTACTAATAGCATAACAACCGGGACAATATTGTCAAGATAGAATAAAACCTTCGTGAAACAAATAAATTTGGTATATTAAATATGTTCTTTCTTGCAGTTAATATAAATATAAAAAACTGTAGATACTTAAATTCACTTACAAACTAGGAACATCAGGTTTGTAGAAATTGTAGCTATCAAATAAGTCACCCTACTGCAACTTTACTATTACAGAGACCTTTATAAGCAAATAATGTTTGTAACAAAAATGCGTACCAAATTTGTCCATTTAAAAAAAAAATTATAATTTGTAGATAGAATCCATTAATTCTGACTACGACAAAATACAAAAGGATAATGCCAAACTACAAAAGGATTACGATATAATCGTAGATGAGAAAATATTTTTACAATCGGAAATCGATAGATTACGACAAGAAGCTGAAATACGTGAAATCAATTTGCGATCCGAAGAAGACCGATGCAGTCGTATAAGAGAAGAACTGCTGAGTGTCAGAGAAGAGCTAAACAAACTCTATTTATCTCACGATTTGTTGGAACAACAGAAAATGGAATGCGAGAATGTAATCAGTGACTTGGAAAAATCAAAAAGTAAAACTAATATTTAAAGGATGTAAGTACCTTATTAGTTTACTCTTAATTTATTTTTCAGCAAATTTAGAAAATCAACTTGAAAAAGCCCTTGGTGAACAAAGTGGAGCTCATGAATCACTTCTAAAGAAGGAAAATCTCGCCAGTAATCTCGAAGTAGAAAAGAAAAAACTACAAGAAGAAATTAAAAAGGTATAATGGTGTTAAACATATTTTTTTTTGTATTTCACTCAAAATTAAAAATATTTTTAAGATAAATTTTCATGCTAAAAAGTTATTAACGATGAGGTTTTCACATGATTTTCACACCCTTTTGATCATCAACAAATATTCAGAACAATGAAGAAGAAGAACAAATAGAATATAATACTATAATATTAACATTAAAAAGAAAATCATATAGTAAAAAAATATCGCAAATCGCGAGTTATTTTAGTTTTTGGTTTCCAATTTTTATTTTAGCTTTAAATCTATTTTCACCTCCTTTACTTAAAAATATTCTTGATCTTTATTTATTTTTATTCCATACCTACTGATCTAACAATATCGTTTCCGTTTTATTTAAGATTTAAAAACATAGCACAGTTAAGATTCTGAATGTCGTCACCCTTCCCTCTCGCCCCTCGCTCCAAGCTCCAAAAGTAATACCAATAAAATACCAAAATTTTACTACAAACTCTTATTTTCGATAAAGGCGTCTAATTATTTACACCCTACATGTGTGATTGAGTGTTAGATAAATTAACTTACTAATAAATTCACCAATTTGTTATTTAACTCTTCTTTTATATTTTCAATATAATTTTTGAAACATGTAGCTCGAAGACGAAAAAACTGCGTTGCAAGTGCAATCTAACGATCAACAAAACGATATTCAGTCTCTTCGAAAAGAACTTCTTCATGCAGAGCAAACAAGACTCGATCTGGAAGCAGATAAAATGTCACTAAACGAGAGGATCAAATTTTTAGAAATAGAAAAAGGAAAGGTAACTACCTGACTAACATTTACAATTGAATATTGATATAGTCCTTACAATTCTATAATAAAATTTCAGATAGAAATGGAGTTGTCTCAATTGGTAAGAGAACGAGGAGATCTGAGTAATCAATTGACAGCTCTTGGTCGCAAAAAGGAAACTATCAGTGAAGAGCTCATGCGTATCAAACAACGTTTGGAGCAAGCGAACGAAACTAACGCTCGAATTAACAGAAATTTGGAAGAACTAGTCAAAGAATGCGAAGAGAAACAGGCAAATATCGAAGTGTATCATAAAGAAAATCAATATCTGCAAGAACAACTTGCATCGTTAAGATCAGAAAAGGAAGCTTTAGAAGCAGTACTGTTCGATACTCATACTAACTTAGAGAATACGGAATTAAAAAGAGCTCAATTAGAAAAAGATCAACAGGAACTCTTAATAAAACAAGAATCCTTGCGAAATCAAATCAGCCGCCTCACAAGAGACCTGGAAAAGAGCGAAAAGCGTCATCAAGAAACCAAAAATTCCTTAATTCAACAAGCTGGTAACAAAGAAGCCGAATTTATGCATGCCATAAACAGCCTTAAAAAGCAAAATGAAGAAAACGTTCGCAAACTAATCGAAGAACGTGAAATGATACGTATCAATTTGGAAAAGCGTCTACAACAATCTGTTCAACAACTCGGAAGTGAGAAAAACAGTGAAATCCAACAGCTACAGCAATTAATTGACAATCTCCAAGTTCACATTGATAACATCAATCAGCAACATGAAGAAGCGATACTGAGAGCTGAAAATGATAAACAACAAGCTCTTTTAATCGGTAATAATCTGATTAGTCATGTCACAATTCATATTTAATTTAATTCATCCGTTGTAGCACATCATGATCAGCAAGCTCTTCAAGAGAAGTTGGAGTGTTGCAAAAAGAAATTGGAGGAAGAACAAGAAAACCTAGATCGTCTAAGGAGAGAAGCAAACATGAAACACGAACAAGACAGAATTTCTATAAATCAATTTAAAGAAGATCTTAATAAATGCAGATCAAGATTAGAGGAATCAAAGTAAATAATTATTTAAAATTAAATACTTGATCGTGTATAGTAACGTTTTAGAGCAAAAGCAGAAGAAGAAAAAGCAAAATTGGAAAGAAAACTAGAAGAAATTAAAATTGAAAGGGATTCTATTCAAACGGAAGCTGAAAATCTGAAGGTGCAGCTTCATCTCACAGAAGATCGCGTCACTGATCTCAATAATCAGTTACATGACACTATTCGTAAATTAAAAGAAGGTAAAAATATCATACAAACAATAATAGTTACTATTTGAATATTAATATTGCAGCCGAAAATATTAGTGACAATTTAAGAAAAGAACTAACGGATATTCGTCGACAATTAACAGATTGTAGTTATGAAAGAGAAAAATATCATGCCACCAACAAGGAACTGAGAGAACATATTAAGAGAACCGAATCTGAAAGGAGGGAACAAAGTCGACAATTGGAAGAGGCATTACAAAAGATTTCTAGTAAGTGTCTTAAATTTCAACCTTTTTCTCCTCACTATAATTTGTTATCGATTCTTCTAACGAGACACAAAGAGGGTTCCAGGCAATTACAGCCTATAACGATAAAATTTCGCGGCCAATTATTTCACCCTCATACAATTCCAAAACCTGTTTAGTTTCTATAGTGACCCTTTACCCAATTTCCGGAAATGCAATGATTGAATATTCAAATAAAATTTCCTATTGTTTTGCATTTGTTTTGTCAATAAGAGTCGGATAAGTTTTTCTCTAAATAGCATTACTAATGTTTATGTGCATCCTATAGATCTCGAGGAAATAAAATTAAATTTGGAAAATGAAAAATCTCGTCTTCAAAACGTAATAAAAGACATGGACAGGGACCAAAACGACTTAGAAAAGAAACTTCAATCTTGTCAAGAACAGCTACAGAAAAGTGAAAACGTCAGTTCCCAACAGCAAGCCGAGGAAAAGGAACTCCAATCTCGACTTCTTAATGAATCTGGTGAACGCGAAAGGGCTCAGCAAGAAGCTTACCAACTCAAAAAACAGGTTATAACAGACTTATTACTTAATAACAATATCTATTTAATTTAACATATAAAATCTATTTTCTAACAATCCATTTTCCAGCATGTTTGGTTCTTTAATTTTATATTTTTAACATTTCCACCTCCACAAGAAAATCATTTTGAACGAAGTACTTATATTGACTGACACTGTGAGTTTGTAGGAGTTGTTAGAGGTGGGCTTGTCAGTAGTAATAAACGTAGAAGCGATATCTTTGAAGTTAAAATTAAAAAGTAAAACTTGAATTTCATATAACTTGATTGTAACTTGTTGCATTTAGAAGGTTCGAGCTGGAGAAGTTTAGGTTTATTTGAAACAGTCAATAACATTGTTTATTTTTGTAGCTCAACGAATTGGAGGGGCACTTGGAACAGACACGTCAAGAATTAGCCCGAACCCGATCTCATGCAGGAAAAGTTGAAGAACAGTGGCATGCTAGAGAACAAGACCTTCTTATACACCTTGAAGATGCCAGAGCCAAGGAAAAAAGATTAGAAGATCAAAAGCATAATTTAGAAGTTTGCCTCGTAGATGCGACTCAGCAAATTCAAGAACTAAAGGTAAAAGCGTTTAAATAACATTCGTTCTTTCAGTTTATAAAATGCAAACTTTTAACATTTATTTAATAGGTAACTGCTCCCTTTTTGTAACTAATAACTGCATCAAGTCCTTTCACTTAACGTTTTCCTTTATACTCGTTGTCAGTGTGTAATTATCAAATGATTAATGACGTTACCTCTTTTGTGAAATAAAATAAAACTTAATACTGCTTTTCGTGTCATGCTACACATGCCTACTCTTTCAGGCCAAACTTGGTGGCTCGGATAACAGAATTCGAGTTTTGGACGGACAATTGGCTCAATTAGAACAGTCGAAACGAGAAGTTGAACAAAAATTGTCCAGTGTAGTCGCAACCCTTAAGCGAATAGCTGGTATTCAATTAGATGGCTCTATTACCACACCACACCACAGATTATTAAGTCCAACAAGAAGGTGGAGTCCTGCAAGAAGTACGTTTCACACTAAAATCGTTAAATTCAGATTGCCATCAAGGATTTTTGTTTTAGCCCAAGAACATGACGGAGTTGTTGATATTGATCCTGAAGTGGTAAGGAAAGGAGTACGGAATTTAATGCAACAAGTGGCGCAAGTTGAACGAGAGAGGGTAAGTAATATAAAAAAGGAAGTGTTACATAACTGAAATGTTTTTGTAATTTTAGGATGATTATAAAGGGCAAGTGTCGGCTATGAAGAAGCAACTCCAGGAAGCTCATGATACTCAAAGTAAAGGTGACAGCAAACTCAATAAAGTCTTACAAACGGTAAAGAACTTACAGGAAGAAAAAGGAATTTTGGAGGCAAAGTTAGGACAGAAGACGGTCGCCCTTCAAGCACAAGTAAGAAATTGTTTTTTGGAAGCTGAAGCTATTTTGTTGTCTGTGTTTTTATAGAATGAAGAAATTCAAAGGAAATCTCAAGATCTGCAACAATTGCGAGACAAAATTCTTGCATTAGAACTTTCCGTAAAATCAGACAGCGAGGTAAAAGTTCAATATGAGGTACTGTAAAGTATATTTCTTTACTTTAACTGCTATAGGTCAGCTCACTTATTTTTTCAGGATAAACTAGAAAAGATGAGATCTTCTTTGGCACGCCTGGAAGGGGAAAAAAGAAATTTACAAGAAGAATTAAGCCGGGCAGAATCTCGAGCCACGAAACTAGAACTCCAACGATTATCACTCGAAGGTGATATCAAAAGACTTCAAATGATGTTACAAGAAAAAGATTCCACAATAAGTGTAATACTTATAAATTTTTTATAAATCAAATCATACATAAAATTATTTTTGTAGAAATTACAAGACAAATGTGATACCCAGAGTCGAGCTCTAGCTAGTTTAGAAGAAAGATGTGCTTCCCTTAAATCTACAATAGATCAATTAACAATTTCTTTAGAAAAATCTTCAGCCAATGAAAAGGAACTCAAATCTGAGATTCAAAATTTACAAAGAGCCCATCTTGAAACTTCATCACATTCTCATTCCAATGCGGAAAAACTGAAGCAGCTGCAAAAAGCTCTCTCTAACTGCGAAAATGAAAAACGTGTTATCACCGAAAGACTTGACGTCAACCAACAAAACTTGGCCGAATTACGGCGAAACAATCAAATCCTTCAGGACCAAGTGTCACGATTGAATGCTGAATTAGCTAACAACGAAGTTCAAAGGGCCGCTCTTGAATCCCAATTAAGACTTTCCCAGTGGCCAGCTGAAAGCACATCATCTGTCCATCAAGACGAGGAACTTGTCAGACAATTACAAAGAGAACGAAGTGAATTACGAAACAAAATTGAGTCTTTAACTACCAAAGTATGTATTTTTAATCTGACTTTCTTCAATATTTCACATAAGAATATATTCTGTGTACGAGTTTTAAGAATCCTTCCTTCAAATTCAATAATTTACATACATTACAAATTAGGAATAACTTTTTTCAGGTGCATCAACTCGACAATGAAAAGCGCAGTTTAGAACGACAAATGGCGAAGGCGACGTCGGGCGTCGGCATAATTCCGCGTAGCAAGTCATTTGAACGACCTGAAAAGTACGAATGCGACTTAAGTTTCGATCGCGAAAAATACGAAAACTTAGAAAAAGAGAACAGGGAATTGAAAACGAAAATCGCACAACTCGAATCGCAGTTATTGGAAAAAGAAGCTCAACTGCTGGAAAAAGAGGCCGAACTCAGTCGTATTCGATGCCAGAAATCGACATCAATGGAATACAAATTCGATAGAGCAGAAATTGAACGATACAGAGCGGCGCAGTTACAAGCTGAGAGGCTGCTGGAAGCAAGAGAACAGAGCTACAGGCAACAGGTGGCCAGGCTGGAAAGTCAGGTAGGACCTTTTTGGATTGTTGGTGTTGGTCTTTTGCTTTTATTATTTTTATACCTTTATCCCGTAATCTTTACCTGCACGGTTTTTTAAAAGCGCATGAAATTGGAAAATACAAATTGATCACAGACGTATAAGTATAGATTTTGGAGTTTTTGAATATTAATTGTAAATGAGCATACTAATGTTTAAATATTATTAAATGATAATATACATGCATAAATTTGGAACTGATTACAAAATATTATTTTTGCACTGCTTATACTCACCTTATATATTGTTACATTTTATGATTATGTTGGATACATAATGTATATTGCTGGTTTTGTTTCCTTCTTTAATCCCAAATGTTTGCCCCCAAACCGATACTATATTAGCTAATTTGTTGTAATTCTCCTCCATATGTTTTTCTATTTGTTTCACTAATTTGACGAGTTGAGGTGTGGGTTGCTTCTTCTTTATTTTCGCCTTTGTTTTAGTTGGTTTTCATTTAGTAGACACAGTTGCTTTCCATACGTTCTTAAAATAATATTTTCATCATCTGTTTTAATGTTGTGATCCTCCTCACATTTTCGATCGTCAGGTTCAATTGTTAAGAGATCAGCTAAACCAGGAAATAAAACGTCGTCAACAATATGTACTAAGGAGTACCAGAACAGGTCGGGAAATGCAACAACTTCGTCAAGCTTTAGGAGAATCGCTTCGAACGGTTTCTCAAGATCCATCCTTAGATGCGTTATTACTGGAGCACGAAACTCGAAAATTAGACGAAACTCTTGCTCATACTCCTACCAGTTTACCTCCTGCCTTCAGTTCGTCTAGATACGACAGGTCGACACCTAGACCTCCTTAAATGAACCTGTCTTAGGTTTTCTGATAATTTTATTGTTGAATCATTTGTTATTTATCCCATTTTATTTATTAGGGATCTATTGAGAAGAATAACCCTAAATTTATTTACAGAAACAGCTTAAGCTAGTCTATTCGTCTTTCTTCTTTTTTTTATTATTTCTTGGAATTGATATTAATTTTAATCTCCAAATAGACAAAAATTGAAGTATATGTGTATTGAAAATCATTAAATGAACTAGATGTACACTTTTTACCGTAAAATTAGTTTCACAAAATAAGTATTAAGTCGTAAACTTTTAGCAAAATAAACCATTAAAAAATAAAATGACTCAGCAAACATTTCTCACTAAAACGTCTTTTAAAAACAGTCACTGTCTGTAACCTGTGATAGCTATCACAAGGTTTTATAAAAAAACGGATTTGTAACTAATAATTTAAAACCTCCATATGAAGACTGTCATAAACCAATTTCACGTTTAAATTGTAGACAACATGACACTGCTTAATTACTAGTATAACACATGCTACAATAAACATTTAAAAAATCAGGCTGACCACTTAATTTTTTTTCTAAACTTTTACTTTTTTTTTAATTCAGCCACGAAACTAGAACTCCAA